AAGGTGCTCGCCCTCCCTGTGCCCGAGCTGTCCTCAGGAACACGGGACGATGGCACCATCTGTCTGGGCGTCTGTGAATCCAGAGTGACCTGGTGCGTGTCAAGGCCTCAGCAGAGCAGACGGCCCAGAGCAAGCACCGCACGAACGCTCGCTGCCGTCAGCACGGTCGTTAAGTGCGGTCGTTAAGTGCGCGAGAGGGGTGAGTTTGGGGTGACATGGGACCACGGGGGCGTCTGATGCTGACGGAGCAGGGACGGGGCTGGCGTAGATATTTGACCAGGAAAAGGAGAATGAAATGAGGATTTAAGGCTGGAAGAGCAACGAGCAAGGTCGCCCGTCAAACGTCTTTCTTCACGGTCTCGCAGCGGTCAGTGCTCACTGGCTTCCGGGGCGGTGGAGCAAACGGGCATGGATTTTGACAATTCGGCCATGGTCATCTCGAAGAGAAGAGAAGCTGCGCTCCCGGTCGCCAATAATTTGAGGGGCCCTGTCCGTTCTGATAGAATGTAGAGCTTTTCTAGAAGCAAAGAGGAAGTTCGATACATGCCAGAGGCTTCTCTGTGAGCATCCTCGTGTGTCCGCCTGGCTGTGTCACAGGCGAGACACGGCCTTGTTCTCGTGGATCTACGTATCCTCCGGGATTGGCTCAGGAAAGAGCCAATTTAGATCAAATGCCAGTTCAACACAAAGACTAGAATTTCTGTACGTTGGGCTCTCGGACAGACACGGTCCCCTAGTGGCGAGTGTGGTCCGCATCTCCTTAGGACACTATCGTCACCAAAGTGGTCATTAAGGACCAGGCCTCGCTCGTTTTCATCCTGCAAATTGGTAGGAAAACGAGCCAACTTTCTGTACTTAACACGTACCGTCGCTTTCATCCTGATTTCGATAACTGTGGGGCAGGATGCTGGCTGCTGAAAAGTTTCAAGAAACGCGTTAGTTTTAACGCGTGATTTTGTCCCGACTTCTAGATGGGAGCCAGAGTGATTTCAGCCATTTATCAGTCAGTAATACGTACTTGGAATGACAAATACGCAGGAGCCCCGTTTTCATTTATAGCATAGTCTTGCTGTCACCGACAGGCAAGGCACTGAGCCAAGCACGGTGAGCAAGGGTGACAAATGAATAAATCAAAGATACGTTAGAGAAAGTGGGCGGAAGTCATAACTACTCAGAGCTATATGAAGAACTAAATTAAACTCACATAGACAATGAAACGGTCATAAAGATGCTTTCCCACTGACCAGACATTTCACTGTAAATAGCCTATTATTTTTTGGATGAGTTATAGTTAATCATTGTTTCCTTTCTGTATACATTAGTCTCTAATAGATTTCTATAGTTTACACAAAACAGTCTGTGATTCGGTTAGTATAGTTATAAGAAAAAGATGAGAGCTATGGTCTTCATGTCCTTTTAGAAAGAAAGAATTCTTTTTATTTTTATGAAGGTTCAAGTACTAAATTCCTATAGCGCGCCCAGTTTTCCGCATGTCATTCCATTTGCTCTCACAAAAAAGATCAGCCATGATTCAATGAGCTGTAGCCTCATTTCCTGAAGCAATGGAAGCCACTCAAGAAGAAAATCCATATTCTATAAAAATCTGTACACTCATTCTTTGCAAGAATTTCAAAGAACAGGAGAAAGTAAATTCATGTCATGTTAAGCTGCACGACAGCGTGGTATTCAACTGCATACTAGCCATTTCTAACTTGGTGGATCTCAGCTCTATTTTTAATAGAAGAAACTGACGCTAAAAGTTCTTTTGAGCAAAAAAAAAAAAAAGCAAGAGAAATAATTCGAGAAAATGGAACTAACAAAATACAAGCAACTTCATTGTTTGCCTTGAATCACTCGGTCAACTCATTGGTTTGTAACACGTAGACCTGATTTCTGAGAGGACCTCTGGTACTTTCTGGTACTTTCTGAAACTTTCTGAGCAGACCAGTCGGGCTATCCATCACTTCACATGTCTGTTCAGACTCTTCGTTTAGCCAAACGAAAAGTAACTTTATTATCCCATCTCTGTCACCCTGTCAAGTCCCCTAGTTACTCTCCCTACATGACGTCATGTCTATGGTGTCACTACTTCCCCAGTCTCTAAAGACCGCTCTCTACGGACACACACACGAAGGAGGAGGAGGAGGCATGGCCAAAAACAGACACGTCGTTTAGTTCAAATGTTAAATCGTAAAAATGGACACAATGAATTTTTTTCTTATTCAACTAAGTCCAGGTTATGTTTCAGAAGCTTGGTCTAGAGGCGTCTGTGTGAATTTCTATCACTCAGGTGAGATGACCCCTCCCTGGCTGAAATGTGGCCAGCTCGGGCAGGGAGAGTGTAAACCGGCATAAGGACACTTAGCATGGATGCTAACTGGAGGGGTCTTTGCAGACATGGAAAGGACGGGCACCTTGGCCTTGATGGCCACTGGGTCTCCTTATAGTGTCACATCTGGGGAGAGACCACACTCCAGGAAGGTGAGCATTGGTGCTTCTGGGTTCGTATATGTGGCGTGCATGTGTGCCAGGGCAAATGAAGACAGTTCATGAGGATGAGAAGTCTATAGACAGAGACAAAGGTTTTTATTTTTCGGTGCAAATGTGGAAAACCTGCAGTCACACACGATCCAGTTGAAAATGCAGAAAACTAAAGACAAAGGGACGGCATTTTTCAATCAGATATTTCATGACGAGACATTCGGGAAACAGAAAAGCAATTGACAATGACAGAGACAACAGAGGCGTCAGAAGCGTACAGAGAAAGAGACCGTGAGTGACTGGAAATGTATCTGGAAGGGAACATGTCACGTTGGGCAGGGCCTGTGACTGTGTAACTCCAGAAGTGTCCGGAACGGAGTAAACATGAAAACTGGACACGCGCTCGCTGGCTGCGATCCAGTTTGCACGCACGTCACATATTTCGGGATATTGATGGGCATATCGATGGGAAGGTTTTCCCCACGACCCTTGTCACAAAATCTGACTCTGGGACAGTTCGCGTGGGAGAGCAGGGTGGCACGTGCCGCCTGGGTGTGAGGGAACTGGATGCATATAAAGGAAAGACCCCGAAACGAGTCACTCACTCCCTGTTTTGCACAACTGCCAACACGCCACGGGATCTGAATTCGTTGCATAAAATTTTATGTTTCTGTCGAAAAAGGAAACTGAATGTATTTCCTTTGCTTTTATAGAGGCTCTTTGTCCTTTGGTTTTGAATGGGATCTTTCGCTTTCCCTTGGTCATTTCCACAGAAAAACAACTTTCTTAAAAACAGTTGTGACTAAATGAGTATTGGATGTCACCCAGTAAATAAATTGCTCTCACATTTTCAAACCAGGGCAAGCTCCTAGAAATGCAAACACGTTTACAAAATGATATTTAACAAGCTGTTGTTATTGGAGTTGTTTTCTAAATTAATTTATAATTTATTTTCCCTTTAAATGAGTAGAAATAATGTCTCCTTTAGGAGGATATAGCCACACAAAAATATTTCACACGATGACATACCCTTGGAAGCAATAAAGATATTAGCAAATGTTCTAATTACTATTTTGTATGCTCTCCTAAAGCCAAGCAAGAAAACATTTGCGTTTCTTGCTAACTTTGTAGATCTGTCATTTCAGGTATGTATTTCTTTAAAAAAATTTATAATGCTAAATATATTTTGAATATAATAGGTACTCTGCTTTTTTTCAGAAAGATAGTCGAAGGGGATAAATTTACTTGCCGATTTTAGAAAAATATGCCTCCAAGAGATTCATGCTTTATAATGTATATTTTTTGGTGTGTGCATATACGACAGTACTTATTTTGTATTCGGTTTGCACTGAAGATGTTGAACGGTGATTGCAATTAGTCTATATGATAGAAATGTCGATAAGCTCATAAATTTATAAGCGATTAAGCTATTTTATTTGTGTAGAAGGTGTTGCAGGGAAAAGAAGTGGAAGAGGTTTTTTCTTTTGCCTTCTCTCTCTTTTTTTCATTTGATCTTATGATTAGTTTCGAGTGTACAGTACGTTGGTTAGACATTTATGTAGTTTATAAAATGATCCCACCGATTGCTCTTTCTCTCCGGCTCTGCACCTAGCGGTTATATTAACGCTGACCACATTCCCTATGCCAAGTTCCAGCTCTCATTTTACTGGAGAAGAGAAGGTTTCGCAAAATCATGAATTATACCGACGAGGCTTAGTTTGAGGACTGATACCAGTTATATTAGAAAATGTTCTGTCTGCATTTTTAGGGACTTTATGTAATTCTCTGCTCCCTCTTTATATATATATATATTTTTTAATTTACCAGAGAACCAGCAACACTTCATTCTAAAAGCTATGTATAAAAACATAGATGGATATATAAACCGTTTAATCAGTAACTTTCAAATTGTCATGTGAATCGAAGAACATGAATGATTAAGGATTAAGGTGAATGAGAGCAACTTACATTATAAAAAAATACATAGAAATAGACTCGGGGAGAAAATGGTTTCTTACTGCATTGGGAGTGTTAAGAATGATAATATATTTCTACTAAATGAAGTCAATAATGAGATGTTTCCGGTTACAGTAAGAAAAAAATGCTTTTGCATTCAAATCTAGAATAGGTAAACAGTTGATATACTCCCAAAGTGCCTGTGATATGCTCACAATAGTCCTTGAATTTATTTTAGTTTTCGAGACTTGGTTTTTTGTTTTGTTTTGTTTTGCTTTGCTTTTAGAGATCTAAACCGAGTCAAGGCATTTCCGAGACTTGGATTTTTGTTTTTGTTTTGTTTTGTTTTGTTTTGTTTTTGCTTTTAGAGATCTAAACCGAGTCAAGGCATTTCTGGAAATTCAACGACTTCCGCGTTGGCGGGTGACTAACGGACGTTAATGCGCTTCCTACTGGTCCCACTCGACCACGGGCTCGTCGTTCGTGTGCAGAAGGAGGTAAGAGAGGAGCTGGAAGAGATTCTGCCACACTAAGAGGGAGACATAGAAGGACAGGCCGCTTACGTTCATCTCGCAGTGGTCGCCCGCGAAGCCAGCGTCGCAGAGGCACCGGAACGCGTCCAGCATGTCCTGGCACTGGCCTCCGTTGAGGCAGGGATCGGAGGCGCACTCGTCAACGTCCTGTTCACACCTTGGAAGGAAACAGAGACAGTGGAACCCAGGCCCCTGTCGCATGAGGCGTCTGTGCAGCGGGAAAGGGAGACCTTGCCTCATCTGCCTGGAACGGTGCAAGTTTAATGACCAACCCTGTGCCATTTCCACATCCTTGGAGAGGGAGACGGCCCCTAACATTCCTAGAGCCAAGTTTGGGTTTAACGGAAATAATTTGTACACACTCACATTGAACTAAAAGGGGAAAACAGGTCTAAATATTTAGAAACCAAGAGATCAAGCCATGAAGGAACCGTTTGCTCGAGAGAGAGAAGGGTTTAGTGTCCTTGCCGCCTTGTAAGAGTCCAGTTTACGGGGGACACTGAGGCAGGAGTTTGGGGGTCGGGCGTGGTTGCCAGCCTGGAGTCTTCTCCTCCAACCTGCGCTCGGGCTGTCGGGGTTCCACATGTCAGCGCCCTTAGGCTAAGGCGAAAGCCCGTTGAAAACAAAACAAAACAACACATACTCGGTTTATTCCGAGAAAGTCTGACTTATTATTTTCCCTTGGACTCCCATTTTTTTTTTTTTAACAAAAAGCAGAAGTAGATAATGAGAAGATTTCACTGGCTAACCAATCTGTGTTTCAGAGTTAAGCGTGATCTGGGGAAGAGGACTTTCGAAAGCCCGATTTGCCAAAACAAGCGATATGCATTCCAAGGTCTTCTGGAAATTTCCTCCTCCCTCTCCAGAGCCGCTCACAGCGTCGAAGTCTGACGCCAACGTTTTCCACTCCCCACCTCCCCAGGGGCAAACCTCGCATGCGCGGGTCATCGCCTTATCGCCGGGGCCCCAAATGGAACGGGTGGTGGTGGGGGATGAGACAGAACCATCCCAAGGTAAAATGGAAAAAGAGATTTCTTCCCAGCAAAACAGCTCTTCACCCCGCAGGATGCCGAGAGAGCGGACTCATTCGTCTTCCTTTCTTGGCTTGGGCTCCCGGGCTGGAAGGAGCCTCCTCTGATTAGATCTGAGCGCAGCGTGACAGCTCGTGGAGCCCGCCAAGCACGCGCTGTCCTGGGTGGGCCAGAGGTTCACCCCGCCGTTTCAGACCTGCCCAGAGGGCACTACGCAGTCGTGGCTTTAACCGGCAGAAGAGAAGGCGATCTGTGAGGGGACAGCTTCTCGGATCCGTGGGCGTCATGGAAGCCACGTGTCCCCGGGCCTCGGGAGAGTCCCCCGTGTCATCTGTTCTTCCTCGAGCTGCTCTTTCTCCAGTCCCCTCTGCATCTCTTTAGAGCCAAACAGCGTAGGACACATACGCGTTCGTGATAGGCACTGCTGAATCTGTCACTAACAGAGGGTAATTCGAAAAACTCCAGTGTCATTGTCACGAAGCGCACATACGCCCGTCATTCTATTAGCTGCCCCTCTGGGGACGGTTAGTCCGGTCCAGATCTCTTTGTCCGTGGGTTCGATTTGGACTTCTCGAATCCGTGCCATGCAGCGCGTTTGGTCGGAGATCACTGGCTCCGACCCCGGATGGCATATCAGACGGAGGAGCAAGTTTCCGTTTTTTCTCAGCTGTCGTAAGCGAAGAGTGACTCACGCACGTGTGTTAGCGTGTCCGGCAGCGGCGCAGAGGCTCTGAGGGCGCCTCGCACCGCGACGGGCGTCTGACCTGCCACTTAATCTCCCCGCCACTGGTTGCACGATGCAAAACGCAGAGGACAATTAGAGCCGATGTTTGTGCAGTGCACGGTACAGCGTTCCGCCCGCGGCTCTTTGTTATCTATTTATGTCGTATCGACCTCACGCAGAGCCCTGGACTACGCTCACGCTGGGGACATCGGTCCCTTCGAGATTCTGACAAAGGCATGGAACCCGTGGCCTTCCTCCCCTCGACCTCGCCTCCAGCCTGAGGACTGCATCTCGCATTCGCCGGCCGCCACCAGCATGTCCCTACTCCCGGCGCCCGCCACTTGAAGGCATCCTCCGGGGAAAGCAGAGTCACACGGGTCTGGCGCACGGTTGACCCCCGAGCAACGTGGGGATCGGGGCGCCGACCCCCACGTGCGGTTAAAGGTCCGCGTCTAGCTTTTGACCGCCCCCCCCCACAGACGTAATTCCAGGGGGCCCCACGCACGCGTAGGTTTCATGACCTTGGTGTCAGCCGAGAGCTGACCGGAACCAGGACCGGGACCCCGCGGGTGCAGAGGCCAACTGGGCCACAGCCCGCTGCTGACCGCGAGCCGTCACGATAGAGGTGTCAGTAGGGCGATGCGTTTCCTACGTCCTCTGTTACGTCCTGTGCTCTGACAGTAAAGTAAGCTAAAGAAAGCGTGGTTAAGGGCATCGTAAGGAGGAGAAAAGAACGTTTCCTGCATTTATTGAAAAATTAAGTGGAGCGTGCAGTTCGAACCCGTGTTGCTCACGGGCCGACCGTATGTGCGTCTGGGGTTCCGGGTCATTCTGCGAGGCACCCTATCGGGTGTGCTGACGTTGAGCTCAGCCACCTCCACCCCGGCATCGCACGTTCGAGTGAGTGGGAACTAAGCATGGATCCAGAAGTCTGGATCCATAAGGAAAAAAACGATCACATCGCGCATTTTTCAAAGGCGTATTTCCCCGATCTGAAGTCTCGGCCAATAAAGTGTTCTTTCCTTTGACCTCAACGGCTGTTTTTCTTCTTTTTTATCATTCGGCTCTGTCTGGACCTACATTTCAGCATAGATTTTTCTATGGGAACCGAGATGAAAGATTAGAGGGGAAATAAACCGAACCATCACTGTGCAGACCGCCCCTCCCCCACCGCCGGCGGCGGTCCAGCGACACTCACCGTTCCCCAGTGAACCCTGGACGGCACACGCACCGGACTTCACCCCGGAGCTCGGCGCAGCTGCCTCCGCTGTGGCAAGTGAGGTTCGTCTTATTCCCACAGGCCGTGGAGGGCGACTCGATGTGTCTAAGGAGATAAAAGCAACGGCCACAGCGCTCATCTCGTTCACGTCGCTCGAGAACACTTTTTGGGGGAAGCTCACGGGTACGGTCGACGCCAGAACAATGGAGCAACTGCTAATGCCGAGTTATGCCGCATCATGCAAGAATCTCTTTCTCGGTACGGCACCACCACACGCAAGGCTGTGCGTCGTCCATCTCTGCATGGTTTTCCTTGGTGAGATACGATCTATGCCGTGAGTGGCAGTGAATTTCGGGTGGGAAAGAAACTTGGTAGACCTAGGCGGGCTGCTGCTTGTCTAACAAATCAACACGGGCCACGGGGAAACTGCATCCCTCATAAAGGCCAGGACAGCGAGGACAGCAGAGG